TTTTCGCTGATCATCGTTAACAATCCTTTTTTCGGAATCCAGCAGTTATTTTTCTTCTGGATTCCGTCATCCGAAAGAGGTTCAGCCTCAGAGTGAAGGTGACAGGCATGGAGTTAACTGTGGAGGGAATTTGCCCCATTTCATACGTAGAGTTGGCATGGTGAATATTGTAATCTAGATTTCTGAGTAGTACATTACATGTACTTTAATAAAAACTCAAAACCATAAGTCTAAGTATAATGTTTATTAAGATATTTAAGTTTACATTTTGAAATTAATTCAATTTTCCTGTGTATTCTTGCAGGAATCTCCATCTTCAGTACCAGTTGAAGACTTGACCTAGCAGCCCAAGCCTTTGAACCAGCCACTTTACATTATGGTATCATACCCTATGGTCCTATTTCCAAAAATGGTAAATTTGAAAAATATGTGGGATCCTATAGCGACCACGGAACCAAATCAAAAATAGATTGTGTGTTTCCCCCTTTTGGGCAGAATATTTAATAAGAAGGTGAATTCCTCGGTGCCTGCTAGTTGGATATTTGATGGCAAACGTTTCAAAAGTTTTATATGTGGGTTGAGCAATATATATAGATGTACTATGCATAAAAATAAAAAATAAAAAGACAAGTCTGCTTTTGTTTGGTTGAGTTTATTAAGTGTGTAATTTGTTGTAAATTTTGGTCGATTTTTGGTGCCGAATTCAATACAAGATGGCGGCCCCCCTATAAAAAAGTTCAAATAGGCAGAATTTTTAATTATTTTATTTACAGTTGTGTGAGATGATATTCAAAATGAGGGCAAGTAAACCTATAGGGACCTCAGAACCAAATGATTTTCCATAGACGACAGTGTTAACGTTTACCACTGTCCTGGTTAAAAGGGGTTATCCACACTGGTTTACCTGCCCTCATTTTGAACTCTTTTTGTATGACACTATGTGTCCTGTTTGCTTTAAGCTTGTATTCAGTAACTTTTATCCATGCAATTTCAATAAAAAAAAACGCTTTTTGTTACATGTTGTAGATATTTTACGATAAATAAAATATTTGTAGGGTTGATTAGCAATGTTTTTTTCATTATTTTATTGTTGTCATAGTTTTAAACAAGGCCACACACTCAAAAGATGTAAAAGTGTTCAATTTGACAAAAAATCATTTTTTCGGTATTTTTTACAAAAAAATCCCCAGATTATCGGAATGCTTAGATTTTCATAAAATTATCTCTACATATTGACATAACCATGATGTGAAACTATCATTGAATTCTGCTGGTTAATTGTGAAAGGGTGGAGCCTCCTTAATACAGAACAATTACGAAATGAATACACCAATGGCGAAATCAACCATTGTGACATCGCAATAAAGACAACAACAAAAATAAACTCTATATATTTCACACTAATTACATTCTTTCAACTTATATTTATCACTCTTGTTAGCCCGGATTTTAGCGCGCAGGGGGGTCTTGAAGTGGTGAGAGACTGTAGTATATGTCCTTGTGATAAATTAATGTTGTGCATTGTGTCCCTGCTCTAATATTGTCCTTGTTTGTGTACGCTGATGACTATTTTTTTCCTTGAGTGGCGAATATTATTGCATAGTTTGTTCATAAGTGTTATTGCTGTTGTATGCTTCCTTTTTGTGTTGGTTTTGTTGTAGATAATGTTTGCGTGTTGAGTATGTGGTTGATTTCCTTGCATGTTGATACTGCTATAAAATTTGCTCTTGCGAGTGAAAATTGTTATGTATTTTGTCCTTGTGAGTTGATGCTGTTGCACATTTTATCCTTATGAAATGTCAATGCTGCATATTGTTTTTTAAAGGTTTACAAATAAATTATTTTAAACGAAGGAAAATCACTACAACTTATGGAAAAAATCCCAGACAGTTGAGTCACTTTCACTTGATACTAAATATACATATAAAGCTTAATGTCATGCTCTAAAAACATCTGTGCACATACATGCTGACACGACTTGTAACAATGATTTCACGGAATTTACATTTTTATTTGCAAATTATTTCTTTGTCAGAGCAGTACATATATGTATGTATTGCTCTGTATCTCCTCCATTGGACTTTGCTTTTGAGTATCATCAATTGGACTAATGTTAATTACGTCATTTATGTGTTTGAGCAAAGGTATACCAAATATAGTTTACAATACAATGGACAAACACTTAGCTTTAAACCTCTACATACATTCAAAAAACAATAGTATGGATTACAGAGCTATAACCTTTTTATGCCTATTCAACTTTCGAAACTAGGCATTTACATATTGATCAATCAATAGACATAATAACATTACGGGTGTATTTGTAGGTATCCTTCGAGCGAATATATTGTGGTACACTTCTGTGAAATTTTTCAATCAATGTGTAATAAAATCAATGTAGCAACATATGCAAGTGATATATATTAACAATATACACTAATTCGGACTCAAAATGAATGAAATTTGATATACATATATAAATAAGGGAAAAGATTACCACTGACACCCAGGAAAATGTACATGTTTGATAGGACAAAACATTCAATAAGGGTCAGCGTATTCCGCATCGTCGACGGCACAAAATATGTAAATTTAAGTGAAATACAGGAAAGGTCGTGTTCTCAAAGTGAGAACCAGGGTAATGATAATGGTACACAGGGCAAATTGATTAACACAATCATTTTGTTTCTACCTTCAGGTAAAAAATAGAATGTTTCCACATGAGGCAATGCTGGCGACTCAAGTATTTTCAGATAGTCTTCAAGGCATTCTTTCAGTTGTAGACACTACAGGTAGTATTGGCCATAGGAATCATTTTGCTGTGAAGTATTACTCATTTTTAGCATAATGTTGATATTACCAATTTTTATAAGTGGAATCACATGTTTCACAAGATATCACGTTTCATGTTATGATAGTTCTGGAATGGATATTGTGTAACTACATGATGAAATATACAAGCATGCCAAAGCCGGCTATGTGTGAAGTAGTATGTTGTCGACGCAATTGTGATTGTATATATCTTGAGTCTCAGTACACCTGGTGCAGAACACACCTATATGGATGAAGAGAGCTAAATTGGGTAAAAGATAAAATGTCCCAAAAAGAATTTGCACTGCACCATACAGATGTTTTGTCCTTCTAGGACTCATCGGTGATGCTAGCCTCGACCTGAAGTTGGAAATCTATATTGAACCAAACTACTGTTGAAACAGAGAAGTGCGTTTAATCCCTTAAACTATGAATTTTAAAAATAAAAAATAAATAAAATAAAATATTAATCTTATGAAGCGTGCCACTTCATAAAAAGAACTAATTGTTGCTATGAAGGTTACGGCATACCTTAGGGGCTAAGACATACATCAGTAGAGTTTATCATATTGTATGCTGAAAGATGAACGTAAATAAACACACATTTGATTGTAATACATGTAGATGCAGCATGTCGAAAAGGAAATATCATATAGTTATACCACCCATATGTGTTAATCTGATCTCTCAAATACAGCACGGGTGTTAAAAGCGTGCGCATATACTGCACGGTGGTTTAAGTCCAACTTTATTATGATATAATTCTGCATTTGTTTTACAAGGATTACGAACAACCCTTCGCTACAGATTCCGGAAGTTAATCCAATACACATGATGGATATACACAATATCAGATGAATAACAAGGAGTGGGTCGACCTTTGGAGTCAGAATGATGCGACTAAAGTTAAACATCGAACTACGGGCTGCTGAAAAGCTGTATATTTGTACTCATCCTATAGATTTTGTGGCAGAAGTCACAGAATTTGTTTATTGTATCCAATAGCGCAAAAATTAAAACGGATTCAGAGGCGCCACATGAACACACACAACGTGTGTGATAACCTGACGCCTTAAATTGTATACCTACAATTGTTATTTATATACTCATTATATTTAGTGTAAGGCGTTACTCATCATTGCCATGTAAAATAAAAACCACAAAAAACCACACACAATATATACTTAGTTATAAATTTGCTTCCTGAAATCTTAAATTGACAACAATGGCGGACATAAGGTCGTCGAGGGTGGAATAATGACGTCACGTAACCATTGTATAAAATGGCGTTGAAATATTCGTAACCATTTTTTTGTTCATTTCGTCCATTTTTTTAGCGGATTACCATCGATGATTTCTAGTTAAAAAGGAGTTATGACTACCTGATTAATACGACATAATGTATTAACTCAGAGTGAAATACAAGACATCGTATTGTATGGCCGAACCATAGGCTGTATCAACAAAGTAATATACCCCAGCCATGAGTAATCACCGATTGTATGAGTAGTACAGTAGTTTCTTGCATATAGACAACGTTATTTACACAGCAAAATGCCCAATGCTTGCCATCTGAAGACACAGGCAATGCGACAAAATGTTTCCAAACAACTATAGGTACATGTGTATTCATTGCGCATTACAGTTTTTAAGTAGCAGATAACTTGCAGGCAATCTACCGGAGCGAGCAATCTGCAAATTTTATTTCCTAAATATGATATTTTGAGGTGTGCTGGCAATATAACCGAGCGGGCAATACGCAAGAAAATCATGATATTGCAGTATGCTAGCTTCGTACACACCATCAAATCAATAACAACATATGTTATGTGGTTTGCATGGTCGAAACCACTTAATATACTTACCAATACCAAACATGGCACATTAAAAGGTTAGGATTATGCGTGTTTGCAGTTACACTATACGTTGCCAAACTTTAATTGACCATCCTGAAAGCTGAATCTGCTTAAACATAAAAACAACTCTGACGTCATCTAAACTGATGGTTTTAATGTTACCTTTTAAAAAAAATCTACAAATAGCACACAGCCTAACCAATCAATACCAATCCAATGCTTTGAAAGCACCCAATCCAATGAAAATTGCAAAACAGAAGTTAATCAATAATGCCTTAGCGATGTAATATATCTACTTATACGGTGCATCCTGATTAATCGCGGCGTGAATCGCTGAACTTGTAGGTTGTTAAAGTGAATTTTTTATTTACAGATATTTTGAAAAGTTGCTTTCATAAAAAAACTCGCCATTAGAGGAACATCATGGATATTTTTCTCACAATGAGGACAAGGGATTTGCATTTCCCGGTGAAAAAGAAGACATTGATAATTGTTGTGCTGGGAATTCTTGTGACTGCAGTTAGTGAGTAGTATTCTTATTTCTTATATTGTTCCTTTTGAAATGCCTAAAGCGTCGACAGTCCGTTAACGCTTTCATGTTAAGTTAGAATAGTCTTAATTAGGAATCATTTCGTTACTAATTTTGGTTTACTTTACATGTATGCTATGCAACTAGTTTCTTTCTAGTGCTTTTTGTTACACTTTAATGTATACAACTGTTACGCTTATAGGTAAATATAATGTATATACTATGTTCCTATAATGTATATACTAAGTTACTATAATGTATATACTATGTTACTATAGTGTATATACTAAGTTACTATAATGTATATACTATGTTACTAGAATGTAGTTCTGGTGCATTGTTGTAACACTTAAAAGTATTTATGCTACGTTTAGATGCTTGCTATGTGGTATGTGTGTTACGTGCATTTTTTTTAACGGTTGATTCTACTGTTGGATTTCTACTTCCCACAGTAATCTCTTTTGAGAAAAGCCTCGGCTCAAAATATAAACACTTCACTAATTATTGAATTTTCAGCTGATCAATAATTCCTTGTTCTCATGAAATTGAGGGATTTTACGGAATCGTTCTCCATTTTGTTTCAACAGCAGATTGGCCGTTTTTGTATTTGCCTATAGCATCACCGATGAAAGGACAAAGCAACAGCTGTATGATGCGGTGTAATTTCTTTCTGACATACTTTATCCATAACCAAAGTTTAAAGGTGCAATCACTTATTAGTAAAGCAGCAGTATGATGCGGTGTAGTTTCTTTCTGACATACTGTATTAATAACCAAAGTTTAAAGGTGCAAACACTTATTAGTAAAGCAGCTGTATGATGCGGTGTAATTTTTTTCTGACATACTGTATCAATAACCAAAGTTTAAAGGAGCAATCACTTATTAGTAAAGCAGCTGGATGATGCGGTGTAATTTCTTTCTGACATACTTTATCAAAAACCAAAGTTTAAAGGTGCAATCACTTATAAGTAAAGCAGCAGTATGATGCGGTGTAGTTTCTTTCTGACATACTGTATTAATAACCAAAGTTTAAAGGTGCAAACACTTATTAGTAAAGCAGCTGTATGATGCGGTGTAGTTTCTTTCTGACATACTGTATTAATAACCAAAGTTTAAAGGTGCAAACACTTATTAGTAAAGCAGCTGTATGATGCGGTGTAATTTCTTTCTGACATGCTGTATCAATAACCAAAGTTTAAAGGAGCAATCACTTATTAGTAAAGCAGCTGGATGATGCGGTGTAATTTCTTTCTGACATGCTGTATCAATAACCAAAGTTTAAAGGAGCAATCACTTATTAGTAAAGCAGCTGGATGATGCGGTGTAATTTCTTTCTGACATACTTTATCCATAACCAAAGTTTAAAGGTGCAATCGCTTATTAGTAAAGCAGCAGTATGATGCGGTGTTATTACTATCTGCCATACTGTATCAATAACCAAAGTTTAAAGGAGCAATCACTTATTAGTAAAGCAGCTGGATGATGCGGTGTAATTTCTTTCTGACATACTTTATCCATAACCAAAGTTTAAAGGTGCAATCACTTATAAGTAAAGCAGCAGTATGATTCAGTATTATTATTATTATTGGACATTCTGTATCAATTACCGTAGTTTAAAGGTTTCATCACTTATGTGTAAATCAGCAGTATGACGCGGTATTATTATTAATTGGCATACGGTATCAATAACCGTAGTTTAAAGGTTTCATCACTTATGTGTAAATCAGCAGTATGATGCGGTATTATCAATATTGGGCATTCAGTATCAATTAAAGGTGCAATCACTTATTAGTAAAGCAGCTGTATGATGCGGTGTAGTTTCTTTCTGACATACTGTATTAATAACCAAAGTTTAAAGGTGCAAACACTTATTAGTAAAGCAGCTGTATGATGCGGTGTAATTTCTTTCTGACATGCTGTATCAATAACCAAAGTTTAAAGGAGCAATCACTTATTAGTAAAGCAGCTGGATGATGCGGTGTAATTTCTTTCTGACATACTGTATCAATTACTGAAGTTTAAAGGTGCAATCACTTATTACTAAAGCAGCAGTATGATGCGGTGTAATTTCTTTCTGACATACTTTATCAAAAACCAAAGTTTAAAGGTGCAATCACTTATAAGTAAAGCAGCAGTATGATGCGGTGTAGTTTCTTTCTGACATACTGTATTAATAACCAAAGTTTAAAGGTGCAAACACTTATTAGTAAAGCAGCTGTATGATGCTGTATAATTTCTTTCTGACATACTTTATCAAAAACCAAAGTTTAAAGGTGCAATCACTTATAAGTAAAGCAGCAGTATGATGCGGTGTAATTTCTTTCTGACATGCTGTATCAATAACCAAAGTTTAAAGGAGCAATCACTTATTAGTAAAGCAGCTGGATGATGCGGTGTAATTTCTTTCTGACATACTTTATCCATAACCAAAGTTTAAAGGTGCAATCACTTATAAGTAAAGCAGCAGTATGATTCAGTATTATTATTATTATTGGACATTCTGTATCAATTACCGTAGTTTAAAGGTTTCATCACTTATGTGTAAATCAGCAGTATGATGCGGTATTATCAATATTGGGCATTCAGTATCAATTAAAGGTGCAATCACTTATTAGTAAAGCAGCTGTATGATGCGGTGTAATTTCTTTCTGTCATACTGTATCAATAACCAAAGTTTAAAGGTGCAATCACTTATGTGTAAAGCAGCAGTATGATGCGGTATTAATAATATTGGCATACTGTATCAATAACCAAAGTTTAAAGGTGCAATCACTTATAAGTAAAGCAGCAGTATGATTCAGTATTATTATTATTATTGGACATTCTGTATCAATTACCGTAGTTTAAAGGTTTCATCACTTATGTGTAAATCAGTAGTATGATGCAGTTTTATTAATAATTGGCATACTGTATCAATTACCGTAATTAAAAGGTTTCATCACTTATGTGTAAATCAGCAGTATGACGCGGTATTATTATTAATTGTCATACTGTTTTAATTACCGACGTTTAAATGTCCAATCACTTATGTGTAAAGCAGCAGTATGATGCGGTATTATTAATATTGGGCATACTGTATAAATTACCGAAATTTAAAGGAGCAATCACTTATGTGTAAATCAGAAGGATGATGCAGTTTAATTATTAATTGGCATACCGGATCAATAATTAACCGTAATTCAAAGGTTTCATCACTTATGTGTAAATCAGCAGTATGACGCGGTATTATTATTAATTGGCATACGGTATCAATAACCGTAGTTTAAAGGTTTCATCACTTATGTGTAAATCAGCAGTATGATGCGGTATTATTAATTGGCATACTGTATCAATTACCAACGTTTAAATGTTAAATCACTTATGTGTAAATCAGCAGTATGATGCGGTATTATCAATATTGGGCATTCAGTATCAATTAAGGAAGTTTAATGGTGCAATCACTTATGTGAAAATCATCAGTATGATGTGGTATTATTAATATTGGGCATACTGTATGAATAACCGTAATTTAAAGGTTTAATCACTTACATGTAAATCAGCAGTATGATGCAGTATTATTATTAATTGGCATACTGTATCAATAATCGTAGTTTAAAGGTTTCATCACTTATGTGTAAATCAGCAGTATGATGCGGTATTATTATTATTTTGCATACTGTATCAACTAATGAAGTTTAAAGATGCAATCACTTATGTGTAAAACAGCAGTATGATACGGTATTATTATTAATTGGCATACTGTATTAATTACCGACGTTTAAATGTTCAATCACTTATGAGTAAAGCAGCTGTATGATGCGGTATTATCAATATTGGGCATTCATGTATCAATAAACGAAGTTTAATGGTGCAATCGCTTATGTGAAAATCATCAGGATGATGCGGTATTTTTAATATTGGGCATGCTGTATCTATTACCGAAGTTAAAAGGTGCAATCACTCATGCGTTAAGCAGCAGTGTGATGTGATATTTTTTATATTTGGCATACTGTATCAATTAACGAAATCTTAAGGGGCAATTACTTATGTGTAAAGCAGCAGTATGATGCGGTATTATTCATAATTGGCATACTGTATCAATTACCGAAATTTTAAGGGGCAATCACTTATGTTTAAAGGAGCAGTATGGGGCGGTATTATTAATATTAGACATACTGTATCAATTACCGTAATTTAAAGGAGCAATCACTTATGTGTAAATCAGCAGTATCATGCAGTATTATTATTAATTGGCATACTGTATTAATTACCGACGTTTAAATGTTCAATCACTTATGTGTAAATCAGCAGTATGATGCGGTATTATTATTATTTGTCATACTGTATCAATTACTGAAGTTTAAAGATGCAATCGCTTATGTGTAAATTAGCAGTGTGATGCGGTATTTTTAATTTTGGACATACCGTATCAATTTCCGAAGTTAAAAGGTGCAATCACTTATGTTTAAAGCAGCAGTATGATGCGGTATTATTATTATTTTGCATACTGTATCAACTAATGAAGTTTAAAGATGCAATCACTTATGTGTAAAACAGCAGTATGATGCGGTATCATTAATATTGGGCATACTGTATCAATAACCGAAGTTTAAAGATGCAATCACTTATGTTTAAAGCAGCAGTATGATGCTGTGTTATAAATATTGGACATACTGTATCTATTACCGAAGTTTAAAGGTGCAATCACTTATGTTTAAAGCAGCAGGATGATGCGGTATTATTAATAATTGGCATACTGCATCAATTAACGAAATTGTAAGGGGCAATCACTTATGTTTAAAGCAGCAGTATGATGCGGTATTATTAATTATTGACATACTGTATCAATTACTGAAGTTTAAAGGTGCAATCATTTATGTGTAAAGCAACAGTATGGTGCAATTTATTAATATTGGACATACTGTATCAATAACCGTAATTTAAAGGTTTAATCACTTATGTGTAAATCAGCAGTATGATGCAGTATTATTATTAATTGGCATACTGTATCAATA